TTGACTATTGCAAAAGGTCTACTTGATAATTATTTTATATTCATAGCAGCAGTTTTGGCATGACAAAAATAAAAATCAAAGTGAAAACAAATCCAATATGGCAAAAAAAAAATATTTAAAAAATTAAAATAACTATAAATAAATAAATAAATAAATAAATAAATAAATAAAAAGTTAAAGCAGTATCTGCAAATGCGAATACAATTCAAAGAGATATAATTTTGTTTTCAAGGTTTTTAATCGATAAAAATTCATAGGAATAGTTATCGGACTTTAGAAACAAACACGATCGATTCGACCTGTTTAAGAATATTTGGGTTACTCATAAGCAGTCTTCACTGTAATTATATTGCTGTCATGCCAGCCGAATGACAACATTCTCTAACAAATGCTGACGGAGCGAACAACTTCTCTCGTCCGGCTCTCGCATAGAGTCGCCTTGCTGCTGTTGCCTCGTATTCTTCTTCTTGTTCTTGTGGCATCGCCTGCCGTGTCCTGTCATTCGTGCATGCAATCCTCACACACACACACACACACACACTCACGCAGACAGGCAATGCATTCAAGCGCAAATTAAGCTTGACAAGCAAAAATTAAACTGTGCATTTCTATAGCATGTGAGATTGTATCTGTATCTATGCGTGACACACTCTTCCCTCACTCTTTGTATCTGTACTGCTCTTGGCTGTCGGCTGTTGGCTGCTGGCTGCTGGCTTGCCTGGGCAAAATATAATTTCCTCATGTACAGTTCATTAAACAGAGCTAACCAAGTTGCAGGCAGCACTTAGCATGGCCTCCTATAAACATATATGTGTGTGTGTGCCGAAAGACCAAATAAATATGCAAAGCGAGAAAAGAAGTGAGAGAACAAAAAAAAAAAAAACAAAAACAAAAACAACGATGAAAATACGAAAATATTTCCGAAAGTAGGAATGGAAATGAGTAGAAAGATTTTGATACTGTTTTTCCTAGCAGAGCTCTTCAAAGTAGGAAACTATTATGACATGTGAAGCTTTGGGGAACACATTCAAGGAGTTGAATAGCTACTCAGACCTCTTGGTCTTGGTCGAATAAAAAGTCTTTAAATCATCTAGATTTCCTTCTCTCGTGCTCTTCTTCATTCCGTTCCTTTCCTTTCGTTTCGTTTTGTGTCGTTTCTTAAGCGAAGTCTTCTCCAGTGCTTTTTCTCCATTCCGTTCATTTCGTTTCTTTCCAAATCTTCTGTCTTTCCTGTTTTGTGGTCTTTGCTTCTCTTTTCTTTTGTTCTTTGTTCCATTCCTATCGTTTCGTTTCGTTTAAAATGTCTTTCCTGTTCTCTATACTTGGTGCTCTTCTCTTCTCTTTTCCTTGATCTGATTTTATTGCATCTCGTTCATATGTTTCTCATTCTTATTGTTTTTTCTATTCTACTACCACCTCTCTAATATAATATAATTATTATTATTTTGTTTTCTATTTATGTATATATATATATATATTTTTTTTTTTTTTATCACTAAATGTCATTATATGGATATTCATCTACATATCTATTGCGATTTTAATTCGTCTATATTAATACTATTATTATTTCTTAATATTGCGCCACACGGAATATTGATTATGAACAGTTCAATTATCTACAGCTGAGCAGCTTATGTGTATTTCAATCATAAAATCCTGGCATGCATTACAATTAACAGCATAACAGATCGAAATAATGCTATTTGCCTGCGGCCTGCGAGTGTAATAAACCAAATGCGAAACAATTTATTATCCATATGAGGCAATATTTAATGAGTTATAGTATGATGCGGCTTTATTGAATAGCTTGCTTATTGAATTAGAATGCAGATATAAATACCATATGCATATGCGTATAAATATATACATAAATATATTCTATTTGTGTGTGTGTCTATCACACATCATTGATTCATGTTGTGCAATGCGCTTAAAACAATAGAGACATAAATTTGAGCTTAGCAGCAGAGAAGAGCAATTCATACTCGCGTCATAAATAAAAACCACTGCAACATAATTTTTATGTTTAGTCTTTGCCATAAAAAAATGGAGAAGAACAACAAAATGAGAAGAGACGAAAAATGACAAAGGATAAGCAGCTAGACGCGTCAAAGGACGCTTTTGTTTGTGCATTGGGTGAGGCCATAGGCGTCAAAGCACTTAACCGCTAGACACAAAGACAAAGCCCCACTCTCAATAGAGAGTTTGAACCACGTACCCTCTTGGCTCAAATCGAATGCTCAACAATGACAGCCATAAAACGTCTAGTCGTTGGTTTTCTGTTTCTTTCGCTCCCTCTCTCTCTCTCTCTCTCGCTCTCACACTCTTTAAGGCCTGGCCAAATCAAGCACTGCTGCTAGTCCATAGATTTATTTGCCTGTTTTTTCTTTATTTCTTTACTTTTTTTTTTTTTTTATTCTCAATTTGACATTGAAGCGCATTAACTTTGACATTCGCGTGAGTCTTCCACGCTCTGCACCACAATGATTATGACTCTTGAGAGTTTTTTCTGGCCACTCTTTCTCCCGTTTCATATACAAGATATTCTTTCTCTTTTTCTTTTTTTTTTTGTGGGCATGACTTTTGTACTTTGCGCAAAGTTGGGCAAATTAATATTAGCGACTCGAGCAAATACTTTTCAAATTATTGCAATCTCATCGCATTCTTATCACTGCAGCTGTTGAAGTCGCAAACTAAGTGCCTTGCATGACGCGGAATCAATATCAAAAATAGCTCACGATTAAATCGCTCACGCAATTCATTTGGCTTTACGAGTGTTGCTGAATGGAATGAACATAAAAACTTTGCACCAAATGTTGTTTATTTTAATGTCATTAACAGTCATTCACCATCAAAGTTGGCTTAATTTCATTATGAATTTAGAACTTGAACTAGTTCTACTGCAAAGTAAAGTTCCACTGCAAAAAGTTCAATTTTCGTCAATACAAATATCAATATTATATAATGCGAGATTTCAGATATTTTAAGAAGTGAAGTCTTTGATAATATATTTTTTAAATTTAAATTATTTTATTAAATAATATTATTGACTTGAATCAAAGGCCTTATACTTTTGAATCGACGCAAGTTAAGGTATATTTATTTTAAAATTTATATATATTAAAATCTATAATTTTAATTACTGAGTAATCAATGACTATATAAATTTGAAAAATATTTAACAAAACTAATTTTAGCATAGATATTTTTTTATTACCAAACATGATGTTGAAGACATCAATTATTTCATCAGTCGATAGTTGGAAATACTCCCACTAGCTAACAAAATTTAAAACGCTTATAAACAACCCAAATAAATCAGCATATTTGAGCATCACATAGCAAACGCTTATAGAGTGTCTTCTTTGTTCAGATCTGCAAAAAATGCAGCTCATTTGTGGCTTAGCAAACTATTTCAATGTAGTGGCACAGCTGCGCAAGGTTCCAGGGATTCTCGGCAAACAGAGAATTCGCATCAAAGCGCCATTCGGCTGCATTTGTCATATGTGAGTTAAATATTAAAAGCTCTCAAATAGCAATGAACTAGTTCAGCGTAGATATCTAGCTACGCATTGATGCATTTGCCATTCACATGAGAATGATATCTGGTTTTATTCCAAACAAAAAGAAGAAGAAGAAAGGAAAAAAAAAACAATTGCCCGCATTACAGAGAAATACAGACGCACAGACGCAAACATGCAGCCGCATGTCAGTGCTGCATGTCAGTGCAGGTCCAAAGACTCAGCTCGGTAAACACGTAAGACAAATTCTATCTATATGCAATCAGCAAATATGGCCGGATGCTATACATAATGCAGGCACTTTTTGCAGGCAAGTGGAAATTATGTCAAAACAAACGCAAAGCCAAAAGCAACTCAAGTCATTCACTCACTGGCAAGCTGACAGACAGTTAGCCAAACAGTCAGTCAGTCATTCAGTCAGTCAGTCAGTCAATCAGTCAGTCAGTCAGTCAGTGAGAACGGCATTTCAATTATAGGCATGCACAAAAGTTCAACTAATATGAAATGCAGAGCGACAGAAAGAGTGGGAGAATGGGTGGGACTACAAGGGAGAGACAGAGACAGAGACAGCGAGAGGTTGGCTCGTATTTCAAATTGTTGAGAAATCGCGTCAAAGACATGAAAGAAGTTGCCATTTATCAGCGCTCAAGCAATCTGCAAAAATTTCCACGCTGCACGCTGGCTTTTTTTTATTTTTTATTTTTTATTATTTATACGCCATTTACAAAATCTTATTGGGAGAGAGGGGGCGGGCGTTAGCAGAGGCTGGGGCTTGCGGGACCCCGTTTCACTTTGTGCAATTGCAGCGCAGCTTTTTTACATATGTCTGCCAGCATTTGTAAGGATTTGCCATGTCTTTTCTCACTCTCTTTCTCTGCCCCTCTCTCTCCCTCTTTCACTGTCTGTATGTGTGTTTGTATTGCAAGTTGACTTCATTCTAAAAAGTTAATTCATAAATCGCACAAAGCGCAAAGATACGAAAGGCGCCCTAAAGAGAATAAGCGAGAGAGAGAGAGAGAGAGAGAGAGAGATGTGTGAAAGAGAGAGCGAATAAAAAGCGCCATATGCAAAGTGCATTTAGACTGTAAGATAAAAGCTCGCTGCAGGCGTTGCAATAGGTAGCTTAGCGGGTGGTTAGCTGCTTGGCTCGGGTGGTTGGGTGGGTGGTGCGACCTATTCAAATAAAAGATTTCTATCAGGTGGCTCTTATGGCGCATAAAAGTACTTAAATTTGTTTGACTTGCATTTGCCATGCGGCGGCTGTGGGACTTGACTTTGCGACTCATTATGCGAACAAAGCAGCGCACGGCCAAACAAGACACGATGCCAACGAATGCCACTCACGATAGTCACGACACGTTCAGCTAGCGTTTTTTCAATAGATTGCCCTCCAAGAGATTTTGATGAGAGATTCAGATGCGAAGATAGAGATATGCAAACAAATTTGCGAATCTAAGTACTTTATTCTATAACAACTCATATGAAATGCAGTTCTAATTTAGAATATTGATTGATTAAAGAAGAACTGAAGGCCTGACAATTACTATTCCCATGTCGATAGCTCGACATCTGGAGGTGTGTGTCCAATCTCTCGGTCACAGACTCGATCATATTGGGCGACACGAGCAGCACAGCGCATATAAAGAAGAAGAAGGCATAGATCCACAAGCGGCTCCAGTTAATTGTCATTGTAGGCGCCTCGGGCTTTACAGTTTCCCTGAGGAGCAGCTCTTTTGATTCCAGCTCAATCAGCTCAAAGTCAATGCGATGGCCAGTGGAAGTTTGCTGTACTTGAGGCAGCTGCGGACTGAGCATTTCTTGTTTCTCCACACTGACCCAGTGCACCGTTTGCGTGGACTCTGTGCATGGCACTTGCCATTTTATGGACTCAAACTTTTGTTTAATCACAGCATAACTACCTGGCAGAGAGTCTCTCCTGCGCCAGTTGAGCTTCAATTGGTTTGGCTTGCGAGCCACTCGATGTATTCCCTTAACAACTCGACTTTGGGGCGGCACTCGATGCTGATTGGCAACTTTTGTTCTGGCGAACACCTCTCGGCTGGTTATCTGCTTAACGTGTGGACTATTTAGCAGTTTGTCCAACTTTTGCGTCTTTACGATCTTTGTGTTTGGCTTAGGGCAGTGCAATCGCTCGCGAAATGAACGACTCCTCAGGCCTGGCCATAAAATGCGTATCACATCATCCAAGGGGTTCGCTGCTAGATTCAGCTTAACGACCTGGTACAGGCATTGAGCGCTAATACGTTCAAAGATTGCCGCAGATGGTATTCTTTCGGCTACCTCTCTTGCATTTGCTGCTTCCTGGTCTGGCTGTTCGATTGCCTCGAAATGGGGCTCCCTATAATTGGATATATTGATGCCCAGCTCGTCAATGTGTTTGTTCTGAATGGCAATCATTTCATTCTGCGTGCACAGCCATGTCGTCTGTTCGCCAATATTTCTCCTGAAAAGCCAAGATTTGGCTTCCATCATCATGTCGCGCGCATTGCCCTGGCAATAGGATGCTTCCCGATTTGGAGTCGTCTTACAGGCTATGCGTTTCTATATGGAATATATAAGATCTCAATATATTTATCTTTAACTTCGCTCTAACTTCACTCTGAATACTTACCATTATTTACAATGTGTATGTGTGTGTGTGTGTATCCTATATGTTGAGTGCTTAAGCAAACTCTACAAAATTATATATATGTATGTACATATTCTGACATTTAAGCTCACGCATATTAATTTATTTAAATTTAAATTTAAATTTCAACATAAAATATATGTGAATTTGATTCGAATGCGAGCTTTAAATATTAATGGAATTCCGTATCAATAAGTATTAATATTTTAATCGTAACTTAAATACTCAGGCTTTCAGCTAAATGTACCAAATGCCTATATATGTATATATATTTCTATATACACATATATATATATCATATTTTCCCAGTCGTGTCCTTGTGACATTGCCGACATAGAAAATCGAATCATTGTTAGCATCTGTTTGGGTAATACTCATGAATCATTCATGAAACGTTTGCACAGTATGCAAATCGTTTTAAATCTTTACAACAAACAAAAGCCGGTTTACACACACACCGACACACACATACACACATACACGGGCAGGCAAACAAAAACGCCGACTAAACAATGTAAAACGTTAAATAATTATTGCAAAAAGAGCTGCGAAAGCTAACGAATGAAACAAAAACAATAAACATTTATTTACTGTTTACTTTTTGGGCCATAAATTTATGGCCTAATGCAGCTGCCAACGCTTTGAGTCTTTTGACTGTATATTTTTTTCTATAACAATTTAAAGCTTAATTTTTTCCAAAAGATTATGTTCATAATTTAAAAAAAATTGTATTACAATTGATACATAATAATAAAATACATAATAATAAAATAATAACATGTAAATCGAATGGCAAATAATATTTCAAATTACATAAATAATTATGAAAATCATGTAAAAGATTTTTTATTTTAATACCTGTTAAACAATAGAACATTATAATTACCTTTGGTTGTAGATACATAAACTAATATTTAACATTATTAAATTATATCACGCACACACACACTTGCACACAGCCACACACACACACACTCTTTCGGTTAAGTCATGGCGTGGCCTTAAATTTGCCAGCAATCCGAAAACTTTTGTGGCTGCCCTCTCCCCGCATCTTTTGACTGGCAATTATATTTATGAATGTACCGAGGGGCATTTCTCAGTGTTTACTTGAAAGCAATTAAAAGCAAACCAGAAGCAAAGGCAACAACTACAACAACAACAACAACAACAACAACAACAGCATCTGCCCCAGCGATGTGAGCGAGTGCTTTATCATATTTTGTATTGCGACTATTTGCTAAGGTTTTGAGTGTGGGCTGGGAGGGACGGGAAGGACGAATGTACGTGAATGGCTAGGCGAATGGGTGGTTAGACATACATATGAAAAGCCTTTCAGTAAAATGGCCACTCAGGAAACGAAGTTCGTTTATATTGTGTCAGGATATATAGTAGCTTTGTGTACGAATGGGTATGGGAATGAGAATGGGAATGGGAATGAGAATGGGAATGAGAATGGGAATGGTAAATGGGAACTGGCAACTGAGAGTTGGGAAGCTCGAATACTGGGCGACTGGACACTGAAAAATAAATATAGAACGCAGCAAAGTCTGCAGTGCACAAATAACCTCGGGGCCATAAAAGAAATACGTTTACTATGTACTAAAATTGAGTAAATGCTGCCATTACAGGCTGCAGTCAAGCCTCCTGCTGACCGCCTCCTGCCTTCCGTTTCCTGCCCACCGCCTCCCTCGCGCAATGGCCAAGCCTGCCTTGGAGTCAAGCCTGAGTTCGCCCCAAAGTGGAGCCTGGTACTTGTCTTCTATGTGCTGTGCTATTATTTTGAGTGCACACACACACACATACACACACACACACATACAGCTTGGCTAGCTCAGCAGTAAAAAAGACAACAATGGAATAGCCCAAGCACTGGGCTTCAATTGTTTGGCAATAAATGTGAGTGAGTGAGTGTATGTGTGTATGTGTATATGTGTGTATGTGTGTGTTATATGGAGAAGGAAAGCAATTGTAGTCCCCTTGGTCCATTGAGCCTCTGGGCAAAGTCTGCGTTCAATTAATCGTTTGCAGCGTTTGCTAAAATCAATTATCGCCTGCTACTGCTATTGATATCGATAATCGAATTAACCCCATTCAGACAGACAGCCGCAATATCTCATGCTGTTGAAAAGCCCCGTAGCTCGAGCAAAGGAAGAATTCAATCTGAGCAGCAGCTGGCAACAATTAAAAAAAAAAA